CGATGTCCTTGCTACGTTTCTGGACCTGGGAACATTTCAGTTGTGTTGCTGTCTATGGGAGGCTCAGACAGCTCTCAGATTCCATCAGAAATACCTTAATTTGTGTTCCGAAGATGAACGAAGGTCTTACGGATTAGGAACGACACGAGGGTGAGTAATTAATGACAGAATTTTCATTTTTGGGTGAACTGCTTGGTCAGTTCGTTGTGATTGTATGTTGCGGTTGACCACACTTGTTATTTTGGTGGCAAGTGTGCGAAGGAATATTACTTTCTTGTCACTATGAATTTAGAGATGCAACTTCTCTGAGAGGGCTTTAGCATGTTGTGCTTTATCAGGCATTACTTTACACTAGTATGGATGGACATGAGTATCCAAGTACTCAAAATGTACAGATTGATTAGGATGATAGTGAGTTATGTGACCTTTCACTTAATTTAAAATTCAGTAGAAATTATACACAATGGTATCCCACGCTCTTTTGATTTATGGGTTGTAGGGCTGTAACTAACTATTATTTTGATGGATTATATTAATCGATTAATTGATTTCTTCAATTAATCGGATTTTTAATCAGATTTTTATTTAATTGAGAAAATTTTTTTCAGTGAAGTCTGTAAAGTGTGTCGTGGAAAATTGCTTGCGGTCGGAACTGAACCATTATGCAAAATGGAAATACTCACATGAATTTTAAACATTTACACATAAGGATATAACTGTACAATGTATGTTACACACTCTTTTATCCACTTAGTTTCTACCAATTTCCTGATTTCTTTGAGGGGAGGATCTATGGGGAGTGTGTATGTATAGGCCTTTTCTGATCTTTCGATCCAATACTGTGAAATGAGCTCACGCAAAAGGAGACAACAGAAAATGATACAGAGCGCAGCAACTTTTGCTCTGATAGCCACAGAACTACGTAGAACGCTGTGGGTTTGTGTTATGCTGCCTTCACGTGCCATCGGGAATTTCCTATTTCCCACTTGTGAAGTCGTGATTACGAGCTTGTCACATTCAAGAGATCTGTTGTCAGAAAGAATAAAATGTATGATTGGTTTACAATCATATTTAAACATTCACTGCGCTAGATCATTTTTTTCATTTAAAAGCAGCCTATTATTAGCGTATTAGGCACGTCTTTAGCAGAAATTAGCTTTTTTAGTGAAAGTAAAGGTCCCTGATTAATAAAATTGTTAATGAAATGAAATGATTAATGAGAAAAAAATATTTTATTGTTCAGTTTAGTTTTATTAGTTTCATACATATTATATCCATATAACATATTACATATTATATCCATATTGTAGC